GTGCGCATCGAAGAGCCGCGACCGGTTGACGAGCGACCATAGATGGAAGAAGGTCGGGAGATATTCTTGAGGCAGCAGCTGCTGCATGTCCTCGGGTGCCGGGTGGGTTGGAAAGAGCAGGTTCAATAGACCAACAACCACGAATGCGTTCTCGCTGAACGATGTGCTGAAGAAGGGCAGAAGCTCTTCTAGTATAGCCGGTATCTCCTTGGGGTCGAAGTACGACTGCGCAAAGGTGCACATCTTCGTCAACGTACGGATATTGCGCTTTACGTTTGGCGGGTGTGAGCCTCCGGATTCTGAGGGCAGGACAAACATCTTCAGCTCTCTATACAGGGGTCGCCAGTCGAGTATGAGGTCTTTGCCGGGTCGCAGGTAATGTTTACGCCTGTCGTCGTGTCAGTCTCCACCCGTCATCCAAACTCTAATGTGTGTCACTTACTTCGTCAGAACCATGAACATGCTAGCGAAGCGCTCCGCGACCAGGTAGTCCAGACCGGGAGCCAGCGCCAGCTCATAGTAGAGCTTCACGAGCTTCACGCGCGTGGTGCGGGGGAGGTCGAACTTGAGCGAGAGCCAGCCTCGGATCTCGCGCGTCCAGTGTACAGCGCCGGGCGCAAAGTCGCCGGCCGAGACGGCAATGTAGAGGTGCTTCAGACATGTGTTGAGGCTCTCTTCGCGATCGCTCTGGTCTTCTGTCTGATACGGGAGGTATTCGAAGTAGGGGAATGTCCGTGGACGGCGCCGGTCGTCTGCTCCGTTGACGCCACCGTTGGGCTGCCGCCAGTCGCTGCCCGGAGACGTTGCCCGCGAGGTATCAGGGCCGGAGCCCGTATCGAGGGCGCTCATGAGCTGTGATATCCGTTCGCTGACCGCCATGGTGCCGGGTGGTGGTGGTCGAGGTTGTGGTGGGGGGTCGTGAGGCGTGTGCCTAGGGCGCAGTGGAGGGACGAGTCTTGGGAATGCGCAGTCATCAATGTACAGCTAGCAATTCACAGTCGAGGGCAGCCGGGACGGATTGACTGCAGACACAAACAGTCAGCAAGTGGTTGAGATGTAGTCGTAGTCACGGGCTGTGAACCACGGAGTAACCGCAGCACGTGGGGCGGGTGAATTGCTGTGCGCGCTGCTTACTCCACAAATGCGCCGTGTATAGCAGATTCCGGATGTTGGGCGTGAGTGCGGGTGGAGATGTAGTCGGGTGCAATGGTTGACGAGCAGTGGTTCATGTGGGTATCCGGCGCCTCGTCCTGATGACATCTAGTCTGGAGCTCCAACCCTGCAACCTTAGGCGAGAGAGCGGCGGCAGCGTCGAGATCGTGGGGGAACAGTCGCGGTCGCGGTCGAACGTTTGCAGAACGACTAATCCACTCGTTTAATCTCAAAGAGACTCGTACGCGCTGCTGAAAGGCGAGGTGCGCGGTGATTCATCACATTCGGACGAAACGCGCTATATATCATCGGACCTCCGCCAGGCACTCGAAGACGCGCAATACACACAGCGGCGACTACGCAGTAAGCTACACGTTTCTACCATCTTCTGACCCGCCTTCTTTTTGCCTCTTCCCGCCCCGTTCCTACTCGCAGGGCTGCATTCGTCCTCCATTCTGCCTGCGCTTTCATCTCCTTGCATATTCGTCCCGATGCACCAGGCTGGTGGCACGACACGCGACACGTCGGTTGCCTCGTACAAGGATGGCCTCTGATGCGTTTCTTTCGCACCGCAGCATCAGCTGAAAGATACTCATTTTTTGTCTTGTGTCTACGTGTCTGCATGCTGACTGAATTACTTGTCAAAAGATGAGTTCCTACTACGACGTCGACGCCATTTTGACGGATGCGCAAAAGGTACCATGTACCTTTGAGCTTACCGTTCCTGGCCTCGGCTATCTCGAGGGCAACATGAGCGGCGATATGAAGCAGGGTTCTAAAGTCGAGCTTCCACTATGGCTTGGCGAGATGCTTGCACTGAGGTAAATGAAGATTCTAGTCATATGTACATTCCATATTTACAATATCTACAGTCAAAGTCTAAATACATCCTCGCTTGTGACCATCGACCCTCCGTCCGCCTTGTCTCCGCGCGTCTTGAACGCCCTCAAAGCTGACCCAAGAACCGTCGATTTGCGAGCTCTCGCCCCTCACTTCTACAATCTCGGCGCACGAATCCTGGAGCTCTTTGAGGAGGAAGAGATGATTGAAGTACTGAGCGATGTGAGTTCTGTGCTTGGTCGATGCAACGGTATATGCTAACCCGTATAGACATTCAAGGCCCGGGCTGCCCTCATAGCTGATCAGGCTCATAATCCACGGGGTGCATTAGGAGAAGGCGCCGACTTCATGCGAGGCCTAGATGAGAACGAGCGGCAACGTAGGTGTTGGGTGATTCAGCCATGCAGGAGCTAACGACGATGCAGTGTTTCGTGCGGCACACGATAGCGCAAAGGGCGTACGGACGTGGATGGCAGATCTGAAGAAGAAATGAGCACGGTAGCCGGATCGCAGAAGATGAGTGCCATATGGTCGGCCAGGAGAGGTACACCTCATACAAGGGAAAAACTGGACGACTAGGAGCCTACGTCGCCGTTGGGCCACCAACTTCGCAAGCTTTTACTTGATGTAGGCTCTAGGGTGTTTGGTTTTTCCTTTGAATGGGGTGGGTAGAAGATCGACGCGCAGGAGGTTGGAAGATGGACGAAGGCACAGTGTAGTAATCAATGACGAGCGCATGACGAAAAGCACGACGATACCAAAAGACGAGGTGAGGCGTAGTTGTGAAAGAAGCAGCTGTTCGAGCCTACCTTCTGAGTACAATACCATACCTGCAAGCACACAGCCAGCGAATGAGAACGTGTACAGTGAGTGTTCCATGTCTACCGCAGTGACGCACCCAGATTGCTGTTTTGCAATAGTATAGCCAACTGCTCGGGAGGGTAGCCCAAGAATACAGGCCCGTTGAAAACCATCTGCGGTACCATTTTCGGGCTTTCCGTCTCTCTCGGTGGTTGTGATGGTTCCGGAGCTCGAGGCTGCGGTGGAGTCTCTGTCGGTGGAACATGTGTGGTTGGGGCCCGAGGTTGCGACTGCGGTGGCATAGTGTATTGAGGCACTTCAGGCTGCTGCGGCGTCTGTCCCATCATCGCGCGATGATCGAATGGGCATTTGCCAGTCTTTTGGGGCGTCTCGCCGATTGGCCGGCCAGTGTCGAGGGGTAGTTGCGGCGACGCTGTTGGTACTGAGCCAACCGAGGACGAGCTGTGTGCATTGGTGTATTTGGCAGGTATCGAGATACCCCAAGGCCGACTTGGAGATTCGCCAACTCTGACTTCTTTGAGTGGGCGGTCAAAGTGTCCGCTTCTCGACTCGTCCAGTGTGTTTTCTTCTGTTTCCTCCTCAGGCGGTGGGGTGCCATCGTTGAGACTTGCCGAAACAGCTGAGGCCCAATTTTGAACTTTGGTGTCCGCCTTTGCATCGGTGCTGAAGTGGGCTTCTGCCTCGGGCTCTTCTTCGATGGCGTCGTCGGGATCCTCGGGGAGCCACTCCTGATGTTTCTGACCGAGGCCCTGGATCATATTAACCAGATTGCCATACTTGCGATCTAGCTGCTCTATGCTCTCCTGGTTACTCTGGAAGCGCTTGATGCAGACTTCATGGCTTCTCGGTAGCTCATGCTTGTGTTTCTCAAAGTATTGGGCCACCTCCTCTGGGTTGTGTTGGTCGAGGAAGCGTATGGGGCAGACGGCAGCGGAGCCAGACGCCGCGACTGACGCAGTTGCAGAAGCAGCAGGATTGTTGCTGCATATTTCGGCTCGAATAGGATCGGTAAAGGAGGGTCGTTTCGATCTTCGGCCACGTGCGCTTAACCGGGACGTCGAGCTACGTGGGGTAGCGAGCGGGCTGCCTCTGCCGCTGCCAGATGCGAAGGGACAGGCGAGCTTACTAGGAGTTCCAGCAACAGTGAAGTCTTTCTCAATGGGTGATGTGGCTCTATTGGTCTGTATCTCAGGTAACGAGGCGGATTTGTCTGCGGACGGACCACTCCATATTTTTACACTGCTAGTATTTTCATGGGCGTGCAGCTTGACAGCCGCCTCCTCAGCCTTCTGAATGACCAGTGCTCGGCTCTTGCGCTCTACATCATCGCTATGTGCCAACTGCTCCACCAAATTCACATGTGTCCGCGGTTGTTCGTCTCCCACGCGCTCAAGATCTTGCAGGAAGGTAAGGTGGTCTTGCGACAACGTGTTGGGCGAGAAGCGTTTCAAAAGGTCAAGATACTGGGTATTGTCAGCAGTGTACGTCAAAGACATCGTGTGCTGAAATGTAGAATGGTGTCCGGATCAGGCTAAGCTGTGATTGTTTTCGATCAGAGCTGCGAGTGCAGCTTCAGGTCTAGAGCTAAAGTTGTTCATCATAAGAGGAAGGAGTGTAAAAAGACATTGCGTACCTGTTGCTTAGCCCACGAGAGCTTGCTTTCGAGTTGTTTCTGTGAATCAAACAAAACCTGGTATTCTCCACTCAGAGCTGCAAAGCCTTCAACGAGCTGCTCGGCGAGCTCCGTCACGTTACTCTGAGGCTGTTCAGCCATGGCGATGTTAGTAGAGAGATGGGTGGAATGCTACAGCTGGGCGATGAGCGCAGTGTTGATGACGCGGCAAGTGAGGCTTGCGTCGGTGAAGAAGAAGAAAGATGGTCGGAAGGTCGGCTGCCGGCAAAGAGATTCGAGAATCGGAAGCGACGGGTGCGCCACGCCTAACGCAGTCAGCCCAGCCACACCGCCGCAGGGCCCCAAAGTGACGCGACTCCCAGACCATCGCTGCGCCTTGAAGTCATACGTAGCGTCTAGCATTGGCATCAATCCTTTTACACCATGATACCCTGACTCCCGTAGCATAGTCCCATCCATCCGACTTCTCACCCATCCATAAACCACGACGTTGCATCCCCTCGACATTCCGAAGCCCCTACGCCCTAAGCCAAGTACCTCAACAATATTCACCATGGGCTCCCTCCACGACTCACGCATACACAAGTGGTTTGCGACCTCGCCGCCCGTCGCTTGGACAGTCAGACAGCTACGAGAGCTCCTTATCGGGTCACTGAAGCAGGGCCCCATCCCGCAACATGTTGCCTTCGTGATGGACGGCAACCGCCGGTTTGCGCGCAACCACCACATTGAGACGGTAGAAGGACACAACCTTGGGTTTGAATCATTAGCGAGGGTATGGGAGACTGTTATCAGTGTTTTTGAGCCATGCTAACCAGCTCAGATCCTCGAAGTCTGCTACAAGACTGGCGTCAAGGTCGTCACCATCTACGCATTCAGCATAGAGAACTTCAAGCGCTCCAAGCATGAAGTCGATGCCCTCATGTCCATGGCCAAGGTCAAGCTGCAACAAATGGCAGAGCACGGAGCCTTGCTGGATCGTTACGGCGCATCCATCCGGGTGCTGGGAGAGCGCGAGCTCCTCAGTCCCGATGTACAAATGGCTGTAGACAAGGCTGTTGCAATGACAGCTCACAACAAGAAGTGCGCTGCCCGCCGACCATTATGTGACATCGCTGACCATCCGCAGGGCTGTCCTCAACGTCTGCTTCCCCTACACTTCGCGACACGAAATCACGACCGCAGTCATGAAGACTGTCGAGACGTACGGCACGCCGATACACAACCTGCCCACCCCTTCGAAGCGAACCTTTTCCGAGTCCCACATCACCCAGCATATTCGCAAGCAAATGTTGGAGGAGGATACAGAGGGCCTTGCCGAGCAGGCTGATTCGCGGCCAGCGTCACCCTCGAAAGAGGCGGCTCTGGCTGAAGACGGGCGTTCCTCGTCAACTTCGACCGCCATCAACTCGCCTGAGAAGGATGACTCAAATAACGGGCCGACGTTTCTGGACCCAGAGTCCATCAGCGCTCAGACGTTGAACGATAACATGATGACGGCTGATGCCCCGCCTCTTGACCTGCTAGTTCGCACCTCTGGCGTCGAGCGGCTGAGCGATTTCATGCTATGGCAAGCCCACGAGAACACGTCCATCGTGTTTCTCAAGTGTCTGTGGCCCGAGTTTGATCTGTGGCAGTTTCTACCTGTGCTGGTAGAATGGCAGTGGCAGCAGAAGAAGCTGCAAGAGGAACAACAACGGACCCGTGGGCGGTCCAAGTCAGACTGAGGGCGTTGGCTGTAGTATATGGCGCAAAGTCCTCGCGGACCATAGAAGCAGGCAGATCTGAACTTGAGCGAGCATCGAAGATACCCAGAACAGAGCATTCCATTCGTCTAGCCGTAGGCTTTCCACAGCAAACCATATCTTGTAATACATGTCGATCTTGCGCTATCATGGCACGTGTACTCATGCGCAGCTAATCGCTCGCCCATACCCTGACCGTTCGTGGTTTGCGACCGCGCATGCGACACTTCGGGCGCGCACTAGCCCATTGCCTAGTGCGCCGAACAGCTTCAAACGTCATCTCACCCTCGGAAGAACCACCGCTGGCAGGGAGCTCCAGCCGGGATGTGAGCTGAACATGACTTATAATCCGCGCGTTCCGCAGGATTGGGCTGGACTGACAGCTGCCGTCAGATCGTTCCCATGTAACCTGATCTTGCTTATCGGCCAGTTGCACCGCTTACGCAGCACGACCACTTGTTTGGGTCCGGCAACCAACTTCTGGGATAGACTACTCCTTATCAATAGCAGCTTCTTTAGTATCGCTTGGTTCCCTTAAAAGCAGGGAATCGCACGTTTCTGCCCTTGAAGCCATCGCTGCGCAACAGCAGTATCGACACCATGATCACCCCAAACCTTCTGACGATACCTGTTGAGTTGCGCGAACTCATCTATGGCTTCCTCTTCAGCAGCTACACTATCCAACATGGCTTCAAGCACGCTAGCACACCTAGCGACGACTCTGAGTCTTCTAATCGCATAGCGCTCCTGCTCAGTTGTCGCCAGATCTTCGCCGAGGCGCACCGCCATCTCCCGCTCAATTGCACACTCCACTTTCGCGGTACAGAGAATCTACTCGAGACGCTCCTCTCCGTCGATCAGAGTGTACTTACGCGTCTGCGCCATGCCCGAGTGCGCGCGTATCCCTTCCCGTTGTACTCCTCCGGAAGCTCGCAGTACTATCCGACCTACTATGCAGCGAATGCGCTCACACTACTTCCCGGTCTCTGTCTAGATACTTTGGTCGTCGAAGATTGCTGGCACGGTTTCGGCATGGGCGACGGTTGGCGAGACGTCACAACCTACTTCGATATCGAGACACTCTTGAATAGCGATGCTTGGAAGGAACTGACCTACATCACCCCGTGTACCGATTTCATCGCGTCCGGCTACGATCATCGGCGTAAACGATCGGCTCAACCTGAGAACTGGGTTGCGCTCCTCAAGGAACGGGATGGAGAGGAGTTCGGCGCAGAGGTCAAGATGTACATCGTTCCGTATGCGCAGCAGACGGCGACTGGTGATAAGAAGACTGAGGACGGGCGCATTATGCAGCCCTGGGCAGCGAAGCCAGGGCACGAAGTCAACGAGAATTGGAGAGTCGCAGGGCCGGACCAGGATATGAAAGGTGAAGTAAGGATCATAGCAAAGAGAGGCAAGAGATCAAGAGCCGTACAGCTGGGACTCGCCGGGAAGAAGACCTGGGAGGAACTGAAGGGCAAAGAGCCAGGCGGCTTTGCCCCCGAAGGTAAGTCTCATTCCAACTCCTGCAAGTCCTCAGCTCACACTGCGCAGGATGGATACCGTACCACAACGACATGGCCGACGCGGTCGCGTGGATATATGGGGGCCACGGCAGAAGGATACAACTGGCCAACGCCGCTCTGAACAGTTGACTACATGGCTTCACAACACAGCCGGTTTACGCGCCCTGGATGTCGACCCAAACGTAAGGGTGGCTGGCGGCCGGATCCATGACCATGCAAGCCCTTGTCGGCATTTAGGCTGTATGCACCCGACACTAGGGTACGGCAAGTATAATTTCCTAGACACGTTCCTACACGCCTCTAGCACGCGGCGTAGCGCGCAAATAGCACAAGGTGGCTGAGATGTCTTACACAACGCGCTGTGATGATGAGGCAGAGTGGTGCGCGACAGGACAGATGCTTCGGCGAGCAACAGAATGCAGTGTGTATTGGAAGGGTACAGCTGCATTATTGTGAGTGATTGTGCACGACTATTGTGATACCAAACTGGATTTCCCTTTCCCTGCCGTCTACATCATCGCGTAGTATTGTAGTACAAACGCTCGCTAGTCCTCGTGGCGTGTACACCCGCGCAACGCTCTCTTCGCCGCTGCTCTGCAGTGAGCGAGGGACTGCCCGTTTCGCGCATCCCTTCGCTTGTCCGAAGTGAAGGAAGGCGCCTTACAAATACCACTAGGCACTACACGCGGTTGCCTCTGAACGACGGTCGTCTTTTCACTTCCTCAACACGGGACCAAAGACGCGGCACTGCGCATCGCTTGATTGTAACAATTCGGCCGCTTGCTCTACCTTGTCAGGCTTCTTATCCTCATTCTCATGCGCGATAGCTTTCCGCTACACCGGTTCCCGCCAACATGGTAGGCACACTGCTCTGCGCAAGCCAACCAATCACTGACGGTCACTAGATCCAACTACTCGCCATCGTTCTCATGTCTGCTCTCCACGCTGGACCGTCAATCGCCCAGCAGTATCCACTACCTGTAACCTATGACACCGTTATCAAGTCGCCTGCAGACCCGCGCATCACCATATCCTACAAATCACCCGACGCCCACGTATGCGCAACGGCGTTTGAGACGCAGAAGCAGTATACTGGATATGTCAACATTCCCCCGTTCACGCTGTCGCCGGCCGAGCAAAACTACCCAATCAACACCTTCTTCTGGTTCTTCGAAGCACGTGAGAATCCAGAAACCGCTCCGTTGACCATCTGGCTCAGTGGAGGACCTGGAAGTTCGAGCATGATTGGTCTCTTCTCAGAACTGGGTCCATGCGAGCTGGTAGAAGGGCCAAACGGCAGCTACGTCTCTCAGCCTAGGGTTTGGGGATGGGACCGCAGCTCCAACATACTCTTCATCGATCAACCTACACAAGTCGGCTTCTCGTACGATGAGCCCGTCAATGTTTCGGTCGACTTCAGCAAAGGCTATTGGGCGGATCTAGACCAGCGTATGGAACCTTCTCCCCTTCCCGCCGACATCCCGGAATGGCGCTTCAAGAACGGCACTTTCCCCTCTGCCAGCTCTAGGAAAACCGAGAACTTGACCGTCATTGCCGCGGATTCCTCATGGCACTTCCTTCAAGGCTTCTTGTCAGCCTTTCCCCAGTACAATCCTGGTGTTCGATCCGACAGCGACACCGTCAACCCCTCTGAGATAAACCTGTTCGCTGAGAGCTATGGGGGTGTTTATGGTCCTGTCTTCGCAGATCACTACGAAGAGCAGAATGATCGTCGAAAGAAAGGCGATCTTCCGGCTGAAACGTTGGAGATACGCGTTGGTTCAGTGGGCATCGTCAACGGTATCATGGATGTTAGGACGTCAACAACCTCGGGCTTGCTCTTCGCATACAACAATACCTACGGCATCGAAGGCTATGATCTCACAACTTATCAAAACGCGATATCAGACGTCTACGCAGAAGGGGGTTGTGTAGATTTGGTCGACCAGTGCGCTGCTTCGGCAGCTGCCAATGATCCCCAAGGTCTGGGTACCGTCCAGGAAGTGAACGACATTTGCGTAGCTGCGCTCTTAACATGCCAAACAAACGTTGGCCCCGCCTATCTTCCTGGTAGAAGCATCTACGACATCCGAGCTCTCCCGACTGTTGGCCCTAGTGACGCACTTGAGACGTACCTTAACGAAGAACACATTATGCAATCCGTGGGGGCTCCAGTCAACTTCACTTCTACAAATAACATGGTGTTGGATGCTTTCAGTTACAGTATGAAATCATGCCCTATCCTCGATTCTATACGCATCTACCTTGCTAACCATGTATCTAGACGGAGACTCTGCCCGCGGAGGCGCGTTGGAGGCCGTGGCAGACCTGCTCGCCCGCGGCATCAAAGTCGGCCTCATCTACGGTGACGCGGACATCATATGCAACTGGTATGGAGGGCAGAACAACTCTCTCGAGATTGCCAGTCGTGTGCCAGGCTACGAGACGACTTTCAAAGAGGCTGGATATGCGGACATTCAGGTGAACGAGGCTTACGTTGGCGGCGCTGTCCGTCAATATGGCAACCTGTCCTTTTCTCGGATATACGACTCCGGTCACTACGTCCCGAAATTTCAGCCAGAAACCGCATTTACCGTCTTCAGTCGCATCATTCATGGCGACGATATCAGCACCGGTCGCGACGTCGACCTGTCCAGCTTCAGTACAGAAGGCCCTAGCACCTCTGAGCACAGAAATGACCCAGGAGAGAGCCCTCCATCCATCTGCTGGATTCGTCAAGCAATCCTTGCCTGCACGGAGGAGGAAAACGCAGCTATCATCGCGGGCAATGGTACCGTGAAGGCAGGCATCTGGTATCCATCCGAGGGGGACGTGCCGACTAGCGCGGGTGAATCCAAGCCGCAGCCCACTGCGACGAACTCGGTGCCAATGACTGGAGTGTACACCGCTACCGGCGACCAGAAGGTTAAGCAGACCTCTGGAGCATCGGCACTCCGATTCAATCTCCCGTTTAGCCGTTCGCGCCGTGAAATCGTAGGCGATCCATTGTCTGAACCGGGGGATTCTCGCGACAAGGACAGTAGCATCAGGAATGGGCTCATTGGTGGTCTCGCTGCAGCGGTAGCTCTGTTTCTGTGAGTGCATAGCACTCTTCCCATATCTGTCATATAGACCGCCTTGCACACTCATTCGCGCAATTTCTCTTCACAAACATCACCTTATAGTTACGGCCGCGCTTTCTCTTCTCAGACCTACCTTTTACTGAATGAATATATACAGAGGTTTACTTTCCATGCTTTGCTGCTGCCGTTGCTTCAGACGACGTAAAGTCTACGATGGACCTTTTCCTGATGATGCTGAGAATGGTCCAATTGTTGTCGAGCAAGTGATTGATGATGATCCAACGCCGACGCCGACGTCAACCATTCTCGGTCGGCAAATAACGTACATGGAGTCGATACCAGAAGCAAGCCCTAGACCAAGCGACGATCTCAGAGACAGAGCAGCGGCTATGTTAACCAAGCCAGCACCAATGCCAACCGCAGAAGAGGAAACTTCTACCGCGCCCGTGCAGCGATCACTCTCCCCGTCGCAAGATGCAAGCCTATCACCGCGCGTCCCAACTATCCCACCTACAGGAACCTCGCTTCACCCTCCCAACACAAGCATTGTGGCGCGTCCCCAACTCTCGTCCTCGGTGTCCGTGCCGCCAACCAACCCGCCGCCCTTACAATCCTCCACCCCAACACCGCCAATCAGTCCGCCCACGCCCCCACCACCACATGCGACACCACCTGTACCTGAGCCAACAACTCCTCCGGACCTGACTTCTGGGTCAACGGCCATCCCTTCCTCTCGCTCACCCCTGCGCACTCCTCTGAGTAATGGCCCGGCACCACATGACCTGTCGCCAAAGATAGAAGGAGGGCACGGCCCAGAATCGCCACAGCCGTCGCTATTTTCGCGGATTAAAACGCTGTTGCTGCCTAAGTCTGCGTCGGATGATATGGAAGGAGGCACAATGACTGATGGTACGATTGATCGGCGGGTGTTGATGCCGCGCGTTGCTGTGAGACCGGTGCAGAAGCGTGTGACGAAGGCTGCGGTGCCGAGTTGGTCGACGGAGGTTTGGTTTTGACGAGGGTTGCGGTTGGGAAGCGCGTTGGTATGAGTTGTTGGAGTTGCGGTGGCGAGGGATTTGTGAGTTGGGATTGGTTGGTTATTGGTATGCGAGTGATGGATGGGTAATGATAATGCTGAGAGGCGACGCGTGATATCGCGAGTGTAAGGGTGGGGGTTGGTTAGAAGGAATAGGTAGTGAGTAGCAATACATCCTCAATTCCCAAACAAATTGGTTTGTAATCGCGTCTTGAAACCTTTTGGATCTGATCTGCATCGCCGTAGCGCCTACGAATCCAGAGTAGTAGTTCTTCGCAAGACAGGTGTTAAAGAGAAGATGCGCGCGATCGGGTATTTATTACTATTTTACTTTAATATGGTGACAGTTCCCCAGCGAGTCTAGCTAGATGATGGAAATTACAGAATGGCGGAAGAAGGCAACAAGCTCCTTCAACGTGTGCAAAGACATGAAATCGTTTTGAAGGAAGAAGGGAAGAGCTAGATGACATCGCTTCCAGGCTTCGTCGTTGTAGGTGCGAGGAGTCATAAACCCGAGAACCCGAGTCTAGATGTTCCAGTTTATCGGGGCCCGTTCTGTCTCGCTCTTCATGGGCTCAAAGAGCTCTTCTGGAATCCATTCACGCTCCCTGGCTGCCCTGAACGATCCGGCGCACATGTATGCATCGCGAGTGATATGGGCAGCGGAGCCGAACTGCTCTACCACGGCTGCCTCAGGCGCGTTCCACCACTCTTGAGGGAATTTCTCTGGAAGGTATTCATCAGTCATATCGCATCTGTCTAGATGGATTCGGAATCTGGGTGTTCCGGGGATCTTCCAGAAGTCGTCTATCCAGTGACCCTGTTTGACTCTCTCACGGAGCTGCTCCGCGCGCTGCATCCACGTAGAGTGTATAGTTGGCACAGCTTCTTGAAGTGCTTCAACAAGGTCGCCAATACGTATACCATCGTCTCTACGAAGTCTTCGTATGAACACGTATGTTCCACGCCATGAAAGCGTGCCCGGGTCGAAGTGGTAGATTCCTAGACTCTTGCATGGCGGATATACGACCTGCATCGATTTGATAGCCTCAAGGAGAAGCGCATTTGAAGCTGATGCGTCGATAAGGAGTGTACGAAACGTGGCGTCAGGGCGTAGGTTGATTTCCCACCGACCCAGGTGTTGTCTGAAGCAACCGTCGGAGAATAATGACTCAAAGTACGAGTTTATCCGGAACTGACTGAGGTCAAGCCAGTATAGGTCTGCGTCGCGCGACACCGACAACACATGTTCCCGGGAGTAGTCGCGTTGGCTCACATCCAGATCATTCAGGATATGCGCGACAGTATCCGGTAGCCCAGGTGACTGTGCGAAATACGCTGGAAAGTATATGTACTTGAAGCCTTTGCGCATGTCAAGGAGGCGCGCAACATGGCGACCAAATTGCGCAGTATCTTCATCACCAGGTTGCAACGGGCCCTGGCCTTCCCAATCGATAATATCGCCATATTCTGTGGGCGTACAGAGCGGTAGAGAGCGCAGCGCATTCACATTCGTGAGACTGCTTATGACGGAAATTGTGGAGGTACGCCACGCAGTCGAGACAAGTAATGCTTGAATTTGAGCTTTGGGTCCCGCGATGTCGAGTATCATATCCAATAGTTCGGGAATCTGGAATAGCTTGTGCTCTGTACGTAGACATGGCCGCTGGTTGTTCGATCTGAGCGAATTGTCTTGCTTGCGAGTCTGGTAAAGGGCTATGCGAGCCTCTACCCGGAAGCCAACCTGTTCTCTCCACTGTTCAACAGCCAACTGCTCTGATGGTGAGTAGAGTGGGGATGCTCTTGTAGGCTCATTGTTGATATCTCGCCTACGATTCATATCTCGATAGAGCCCAGGTTGTCTTGTGTCGTTATCTGGTTCGTAGATGGAGAATAGGAAATCTTCCTTCGCGTCCAGAGTCGGGATCTCTTCTTCGCCATAAGACGCTATCCAGGAGATTGCGGATCCCATAGTGAACGAGAACTGTGCTGCTCGCAAATGTCAACGAAAGATAGAGGGAGTAAGGACATGAAAGGGACTGAGATTTTAAGAGCCGCTTTGTACAGTTGTCCTTTGAACGTTCCACGGTTTGAGGGTGCAAGGACCCGCCAACGGATATGGCTGCCTAGGCGCTAATTGCGATTCAGCTAGGCGCAAAGGCCCCGTCCGTGGGTCTCCCCTCACCTCCAGAGGTCACTGTCCCTACCACGACAACGTCGCGATCTCCAAACGCTACGAGCTTTTCCAGCGACGCAATATGCTTTGTGTTCTGCGCACACAACATGGCAGCTGCTCATATATATTTGATGATATCTCCCGCAATAACAGACCTGCCGACGCTCACCTGCCACTCCGCTTGCCGCCGTGCACACAGCTCCGCACTTCTGCGCCTGCTTGTACTGGTTCGCGCCTCCACTCTACCACTCGCGTCCGGGCGCAACATTTTCATCCGCCTTGCTGCTTCGCGAAAACGCCTCGCTGGTCATTGTCCGCTCACGCTACCTCCAGATTGGACCGACGACCCTACCCCAAACGCGTAACAATCGATTGACCTCGCGGTGGAGTCTCACCGTTATACACGACATGTCCCTTGCTCTAGGGCCTCTCTTTCTTGGGCTCCTTCTTTACAACCCACGTATGCATCGGTAGCGCGCACATGGCACTGCGTCTGTGCAGACTTCCGCGATTGACGCAGCATCGACATGCAAGTACGCCGACCGTCGTAGACATCTGAACCGCACCATCACTTCATGGCTTGAGGATTTCAGTGCGTCCAAGGCTTCTACCTAGCTTACCTTGCCTTCGCTGCCGGCCACGCGTCGCCCTACGGATCCCCACCACTTCGTCTCTACCTCGCGCAACCCACCCCGCACACGGCAACCTCGCTTTCTACCAGCTCTTTCTCGCGCCACCTCCCAGAAGACCAGACAAAAGCGTCCACCGCCTCGATCGCGCAGCGCACCACTGGCGACCAACAACGCCGCCGCGACCGCCGATTCCCTCAAGCTCACCTTGACGAAACGACGATTTGCGCGCCTCGAACACGGACCGGCAACTATCATAAATCACCTTTCACCGCGCGCTCACCGTCAAGGCAACAGCGTCTACGCCAAGCCTCGCTGCCGAGCCGGTCGACGTCGTCTATATACAACGTCCCTCCCAGCTTTTTCAACCGTCTCCTCTACACCCCACCCCACCACACCCACCGCGCAACAATCAAATCCTACCTTCCACCATGCGCTCGCCTTCAAGGCAATAGCGTCCACGCGAAGCCGCACTACCGAGCCCGTCGCCATCGTCCATATGCAGCGTCCCTCTCAGTCTTGTCGACCGTCTCCTCTCCATCGCACCCCATCCCACCCGCCGCGCAACAATCAAATATCATCTTCCATGGCCTTCCATCACGCGCTCATGCGCTCACCGTGAAAGCGTCAGGGTCCACGCTAGGCCTCGCTACCGCGTCGTCTATATACAAAGTCTCTCCCAGCTTTTTCAACCGTCTCCTCTACTCCCCACCACACCCACCGCGCAACAATTAAATCGACTATCTTGCCCCCGCGCTCAACACACTACTCAGATGCGCTCGAGCCCGTACGAACAATCGCGCGCCGCACCACAACCCGATATCAAAGACATGGTCTGACTGACCACCCACATTCACCAAGGCCCCATCCCCGCGGCCCCGCACTCGCTTTCTTAGTAAAGTATCTACCCAACATGGAGGTCCTTCGACACCTAGTTGTCCATTCTGTACCAACACTTGGATTCTCTTTCTTCATCACTTGACCTCGCCTTGACTCACCTTGTCTTGGTCAACACTTGGACCCTTCCTTCATCAGTACTTGGACCCTTCCTTCATCAGGACTTGGACTTCCTTCATCAGGACTTGGACTTCCTTCATCAGGACTTGGACTTCCTTCATCAGGACTTGGACTCTTCCTTCATCAGTACTTGGACTTCCTTCATCAGGACTTGGAC